GAGTGTATAAAGTGATCCAAATCGGTGTTTCAGAAATTAAAACTGCAATGAAATGAAGAAATGCACTAGGTGGGATTAAAAGAAGTAACTGCTCAATTTCTAAAGTTAATGGGAGCTGTTAATGCACGTATTTGTGAAGGTCAACAAGCTGTGAACTCAGGATACATAAAGGAAAAGAAATAGTCCAAGTCATGATTCAATGATTGAAAACTAGTGATAAAGAGAAAAATCTTGAAATATGCAGAGGAAAAAACTCAGAGGAACGGAACAAAGATAAGTAGTGGCAGAAGTTATCTCTGTTTCTTGTTGCACACAGTGCAAGCCAGAAGATAGTGGAACAGTGTCTTAAGTACCACAAGCAAAAACTGCTAAATTTAGAATTTGGTACTCAGCCTGCATTTATTGCCAAAGTGAAGGTGAAATAAAGGCTTTCTTCTTCAACCATTTAAAAGTAATAAATCATTATTAGCATTCCTCCATTTAAGAAATAGAGGAAGGAGAATAACAAATAAAAACCTGAATCTGTGCAAAGGAATGAAGAAAATGGCGATTACCTGGGCAAATTAAATTGCTTTACTTATTTAAAACTCTTTAAAACAATTTAATATTTAAAGCAAAAGTAATGTATTGTGAGTTGATACACTGTTGATGTAGTTAATTTGGTGAGTTAAAATGTGTAATACAAACTCTGAAGCAACCATTAAAAGGACATAAGTAGCCAACAAAGGAATTAAAATGAAATTACAGAAAACAGTAGGAGATGACCCAAAGCCTTGGGATCTTGCATCCAAGTGGGAGACCCAGAAGAAGCTCCTGGCTTCGGATCAATTCAGCTCTGGCAGTTGTGGCCACTTGGGGTGTGAGCCTGCTGATGGAAAATCTTTTTCCTCTGTATCTCCTTCTCTTTGTAAATCTGCCTTTTCAATAAAAATAAGTCATTTAAAAAAACCACAAATTCAAATCATCCAAAAAAAAAGAGCAGATATCCAAAATAGGAAATAAATTGCAAGATAACTGTATCAATGACATTAAATGCTAATTGTGTACATGTCTCAGTTAAAAGGGAGATGGCAAGTTGGATTAAAAGAAATAATAAACCCCTATAAGAAACTTTCAAATTTAGAGACATAAATATATTAGAACTAGTGGAATTGGATAAGTGGAATTGCTACAAGTGAGATTGTTTCACAGTAACAAAGAATAGTTCATGAAGAGGACATAGCAATTCTATTGTATTGTCTGATAATAACTTTAGAATTCTTGAATTTAAAGAACTGCTACGAGATGGTCTGACGTTAGCACCCCTCTAACTGATAGGGAAGCCAAAAAAACCCTTTAGTAAGTAGATATGCTGTCAGACAACTTCTGACATTTAATGAACACTTCAAACAGTGAAATATGCACTGTTTTAGAATGAGGATGGAAGTAGAAGAAGCCTCAATGAATTCAGCAGGATTTCAGTATGATCATACTTTCTGACTATAGAAGTAAATCAGAACTTATCTGGGGAGCTCAGCGTGATAGCGAGGCAGCCAAAGTCCTCGCCTTGCACACGCTGGGATCCCATATGGGCTGCAGTTCTAATCCCGGCAGTCCCGCTTCTCTTCCAGTTCCCTGTGGTGTGGGAAAGCAGTCAAGGATGGTCTGTGTGGGATATCCGGATGAAACTTCTGGCTCTTGGCTTTGGACCAGCGTAGCTCTGGCTGTTGCGGCTGGTTGTGAAGTGAATGAAAGGATGGAAGATCTTCCTCTCTGTTTTTCCTCCTCTCTATGTATCTGGCTTTGCAATAAAAATAAATTTTAAAAAACTTAGGAATTTCTAAATACTCAAAAATTAACATATTTAACTTAACCCTTACATCAAAGACAAAAGAGGATCACATGTATTAGCAGCTGAATCAGAATTAAGATACCAAAATATGTGGGATGCATCCTAAAGAGCTGTGGATAAAGAAATTTGTGGCAGTAGATACTTGTATTTGGAGGCAGGGGGGAGGCTTCATTTCCTTGACCTTAGCTTTTAGCTTGAACTAGAAGAAAAAATTAAAGCTGTAGTAAGTAGAAGAGAGTGGAAGCGAGTGAAAGTGAAAACAGGAAGGCAAAAGAAAGAAAAATAAAAATTAAAGACTTATTTTTGAAGACGAAGCTGCCAAGCCTGTGTCCAGAATGATCAGTTAAGGAAGATGAAAATTAGTATTTGGAACGAGAGAAGTTCCTCAATTAGAGGTTATCACAGCAGATAACAAATGTTTCTAGTACTGTTTATGTCAATAACTTCAACAAGTTAAAATGAATATTTTCCCTGAAAGGCACAAGCTTGCCAATGTCTACTGAATTGTAGCTATTAAATAAGTTTTATTTGTTATGAAAATTTCTCAAAATTGCAGACCCATTTAGATTCACCAGTGAATCATTTAAGGCAAATTGTTCCAGAGAATTGAAGGGAAGCTTTTGATACTCATTACAGTAAGTCAGCATTGCCTTGAGACCCAACCAAAGATGGACTAAAAGTGCAAATTGTATTTCTCTTGAACTTGGCTATAAGAATTCTTAGAAAAATGTTAATAAACAAAGTCTAGTCATATATGCATTGTGTTTTTTCCTGAATTCATGTTGACTTAATTCCAAAATAACCTGAGATTTTCAAGAAAAGCAACCCCATACTTCTCGGCATACTCACTGTACTGAAGGGTGTAGGCAGTGTGGGAAGCCCAGAAGAAATAAAATAACATTAGTACCAGAGAAGTAGACCCAAAAGTGTCCTCATTAGCAAATGACATGATTGTCGACTTGTACAGAGGAGGTCCTAGAGAAATGATTTTAGAATGTTTCAGGGTGTAATATATATGTTTGTATAAGAAATATGATTTTTTAAAGATTTATTTATTTTTATTACAAAGTCAGATATACAGAGGGAGGAGAGACAGACAGGAAGATCTAACGTCCAGTGATTAACTCCCCAAGTGACTGCAAGGGCCAGTACTGCACCCATCCGAAGTTGGGAAACAGGAACCTCTTCCGGGTGTCCCACACGGGTGCAGGGTCCAAAGCTTTGGGCCGTCCTCGACTGCTTTCCCAGGCCACAAGCAGGGAGCTGGATGGGAAGTGGAGCTCCAGGGATTAGAACCGGCGCCCCTATCGGATCCCGGTGCGTTCAAGGTGAGGACTTTAGCTGCTAGGCCACCGAGCCAGGCCCAAGAAATTTGATCTTTTATGCTATGGAAAACTTACATTGAGGGCTCGTGTTGTGACCATGGGTTAATCCACTGCTTTTGATGCTGCCATTCTGTATGGGAGTGACCCTTTGAATCCCAGCAGCTCTGCTTTTGATCTAGCTTCCTGCTAAATTTGCCTGGGAGACAAGCATAAAACAGGCTCTTGCTGCACATGTGGGATACCTGGATGAAATTCTTGGGTTTTGGGTCTGCCTTGGCCCTACACTAGCTGTTGTGATCATTTGGAGAGTGAATCAGTAGTTGGAAGATCTTTCTGTATCATTCTGTTTTGAATGAATAAATATTTTTTAAAATCACGTTTAAAATAGCTAGAATGTGGTTCTTTATGGGCGATAGGGTCCATAAGTTAATGTTTAAAATGTTACTTCTGGGTAAAAATATACCCCCCCCCCCCCACATATATATATGAGTATATATCAACAAATTGCTTATTGTGGCTGCTATTTTATGCCCCAGTTACACACCTTTCCTTACTCAACTGCCTTCACTTGTAAATATTATGCATTGTGAGGGCCTGTGGTCCTATTTAGAATTCATTCATTGTCCCCGCATATTTGTGATTGGGGAACAGTAAAGTGATTCAGTGGCCTCTAAAATTTGCACCCCTCTCTAACCTTGCATTTTGCCGTTTTGTGGTGTATTTCTCCAATCCAGGCTTTTTTTTTTTAAAAAAAAAGATTTATTTTTATTGGAAAGTCGGAGATAGAGACAAGGAGAGGAAGATCTTCCGTCCGATGATTCATTCCCTAAGTGGCCACAACAGCCAGAGCTGAGCCATTGTGAAACCAGGAGCTTCTCCTAGGCCTCCAATGTGGGTGCAGGGTGTCCCAAGGCTTTGGGCCGTCCTTAACTGCTTTCCCAGGCCACCAGCAGGGAGCTGGATGGAAAGTTGAGCAGCCAGGATTAGAACTGGAGCACATATGAGATCCAGATGCCTGCAAGGCGAAGATTTTAGCCACTAGGCTACATGCTTGGATCTATTCCAGCTTCTTTGTGTTCCTAAGACTTGAACAGTTGCTTCTCACTTGTGGCCCCTCCTGTACTTTACTTTGTCAGACATGACACTTTGTATGTGCTTCCCTTTTCCATGCACCTCTTTGTCTCTTAGCTTAAATACCTGTTCTTTGGGGAAGCTTCCTGACTTTGGCAAGGTCGGGAAAACCTCATTGCACTTTGTACTTTCCTTTCCTAGATTATATACCTATTATATTTAATGCTTTTTGTGTAGCTGCTAGATTGGAGTTTTGCATTGCAGTGCTTTTCATTTCGAGCATTAACTGAAGTGGACTTCAGTTTGTATTGAGTAGTAAAGTCTGTTGGTTCATTTTAGGATAAAAGAGATAGGGCTGGGCCCGGTGGCATGGCCTAGTGACTTAAGTCCTCTCCTTGAACATGCCAGGATCCCATGTGGGAGCCGGTTCTGATCCCGGCAGTTCCACTTCCCATCCAGCTCCCTGTTTGCGGCCTGGGAAAGCAGTCGAGGACAGCCCAAAGCCTTGGGACCCAGCACCTGCAAGGGAGATATGGAGGAAGTTCCTAGCTCCTGGCTTCGGATCAGTGTAGCACCGGCTTTTACGGTCACTTCGGGAGTGAATCATTGGGCAAAAGATCTTGCTCTCTGTCTCTCCTCTCTGTATATCTGACTTTCCAATAAATAAATAAATCTTTAAAAAAAATAGCTAGGACTTGTGTCTGGACTAATTGTGCGATCTGTAGTTAGGATTCAATGGAGTCAAATCTAATTGTTATAACTTGAAATTTCAGGTCACACAGGAAGAAGGACAGCAGTTAGCGCGGCAGCTTAAGGTAACATATATGGAAGCCTCAGCAAAGATTAGAATGAATGTAGATCAAGCTTTCCATGAACTTGTTCGGGTTATAAGGTAAGTGTATTTAATAATTACTATCAAGTATTTTTGGTAAGAAAAAGGAAATGGTATGTAGGACTGACTTCTTACTAGGAGTACATGGTATTAAATTTGTTAAAACTTAGTTAAGGAATATTATTTTAGCCATTTCTACTATATAAATTTTAATTATGTCGAGATAGAAAGTATATAGAGATTTTGCAAAGAATACGTACAGATTCTAATTGTGGAGGTATGGAAATGGCCAATACAGAGCTGGGATTTGAATGCCCGTCTCCACGTTCTCCTCAGCTGCTCTGCTGAATGCTGCTGTGCGTTACTCTGTTTACTCCTCACCATAGACCAGTAATTAAATACTTGCTGTTATCCTTGCTTTCAAATGAAAAAATGGAGATGCAGAGAAGTTAAATAACTTACTTAAGGTTTGGACGTGGTGGGGGTGGGCATTTGGCCTAGCAGTTAAGATGTTGATTCAGACACTTGCATCCCATATTGGAGAACCTGGGTTCGAGTCCTAGATCTTCTCTCCATTACAGTGTACCCTGGTAGCAGCAGGTAATGGCTCGGGTGGTTGGTTCCTTGCTTCCGTGTGGGACAAGTGGATAGAATTCCTGGGTTTGTCAATGCTGCTGCCCCACTGCAGTCTTTGGGGAGCTGCTGGGGAGTGAAGCCACAGATGGGGGACTCTTCTGTTTCCCTTCAAATGATAATAGGTAGATTCATTTGAAAAATTGTTGTGATATTACACATGCAGCAGCTGGGGCCTGAGTCTAAATGTCTGACTCCAGAACCTGGGTTCGTAGCTTAGCTCCTTACCCACTTCTTCCAAGGCTGAAAGTAAAATGGGAGTGTTTTTTGTGGTAGGTGATCAAGGAAGCCTCTGTGGTTTTGAAAGTATTAATGGGTTCCTGGAAGCTTGAGGTGACAGGTGATGTCTGTTAGAGTTACTATGTTTATCTGCAAGTGAGAAATATGAAGTTGTTTTAGGAGATGGGGTTTCTTTAGATTATTTTGAGTCTGTCTTTACCTCTACTTCACCCTCTGCTGTCTCCATCTTGGGTTTCATTGGGAGTTAGGTTGAAAGGACTGTGGAGCAGGGTCCAGTTTATTGGGTGCCTCTGGTGGCCTAACTGTCAACTTGTGGTGCTTGTTAGTCGTTTACCAGGACATTTCTTCTTGGAGGAAAACAAGTGAAGGCTGTACTTTTTTGGTGTTTAGCAGTTTCTCACTCTTGTCTCAGAGGTGTAGAGTTTCAGTTTTGCAAGATAGTTTTAAAGGTGATGCTTGCACAACTGTGTGAGTGCACTTACCCACCACTGAATTACACATTCAACATTAGTGAAGATAGAAACTTCTGTAGTAGGTGAATTTAACCTGCCCTCACCCCAGTTCCACGTTGATGAATGAGTGCTTCCATGTATTAAAGTTTTTTTTTTTAAGATTGATATTTGTTTTTGTGTGAAGGACAGATTTTAGAGGGAAAGAAGGAGGGAAAAGTCTTCCATTTGTGGTTCACTCCCCAGATTGCACCCAGTGCCCTGAGCTGAGCCAGTGGAAGCTCATCCGATCCAGGTCTCCCACTTGGGTGCTGGGTTCCAAAGTCTTGAGCCATGCTTTGCTGCTTTCCCAGCCCATAAACAGAGAGCTCTATCCGAAATGGAGCAGCTGGACACGAACTGGTGCCCAGATGGGATGCCAGTGTTTATAGTCAGAGGATTAGCCTTGTATGCCACCATGACACACCCAAGAGAAATTTTACTGTAGTGGTGGTGGTTATTCTTCAGTGTAGTGTACAGTTATGGCATCGAAATTGGGAAGGGGATTTAGAGGTTAGTGAGTCCAGCATCTTACATAATTTGGCACCTGCCCATTGGAGTAATTCGGGCAGCTCTGCTCGTGCTGGTGTAGAACCAGGTTTTGCTTTCTGTTTGCCCCCAAAAGATGTGCTTTGATACCTGGATGAAGTTTGATAGTGAAAAGCGCGTGTTCTTCCACTAGATTTGTATAAAAGTAACCTACTGTTTTAATAGTAGCTTACTAAGAAGGCGATTATATTTAGATACTTTGTTTTACAGGAAATTTCAAGAGCAAGAATGTCCTCCTTCACCTGAACCCACTCGGAAAGAAAAAGACAAGAAAGGCTGCCATTGTGTCATTTTTTAAGAATCCCTTGAGTTGTAGCTACCGACTGCCAGGAAAAGCCCTCCACTTCCTTCCTTACAGTTTACATCGTGCTGGTACATCTCTAGCCTTAGACAAGTGATCACCATGTTAGCCTTAGACCACGAAGCTGGCTAATCCTTCCGTGAAGCTCACACAATGGTCATTTCCAGACAGAGTTAAAGGAAACACTAAGGCTGCTCCAAAGAGTATCTGATTCTTTTACGATATGTGTCTACAGACATGGTTTCTTTAAGGGCTTAGATTTTAATAGATAAATCAGTTTTGGAACTAAGCTGTTTGCCAAGCAGAAGTCATAGGTTGTAAAATAATTTTTAACTTCTGGAATCATTGCCTACTGTTATTCTAAATAGAAATACAAGGAGGTTTTGTTTTTAAATGTGAATCTTTGCCTATCAAATTTTGATGTCAACCTTCGTTAACCTTAAATACACTGAATTGAATCTACAAAAGTGAGACATCTCAGACATTTACTGATGCTACAGCTTTTGTTTTCCAGCCGCCAAAATACCTGAATGCCTCTTATATTTATGGATTAAAAACTGCTTAGAGATCCTTTGTTACTACTTTCACTCTTGAAGATAAATAATACTCTGTGTGGACAAGCTTTTGGACTCATTTTGGACCCAAACATTTCAGTGTACTTGGTTTTTTAATTTAACTCTTCTCAGCTGTGTTAAGGGTAAAAATGAGTAATTTCTGTCTCCTTTTCAAGGTTTTCTGGTTAAGGGATTCAAAAAAACTAAAACCATTTTTGTTTGATGTAATATAAAATACGGAATTGATCTTTCCAGGGTCAGAGATGATTAATGTTTTTGCTATATACTTTTATACATTATTTTCTTATCAAACTAGTTAACAAGTATTTTTATATGTTTGTAAGCAAATATGCTTTCACAGCATATCTTGTGTATATGTAAAGATAAGTATTTAATTCTCACTGTTCACTTTTACAAAGGACAAAGAAAAAAGGAAACTACAACTGTGGTAGGACTTCTGCTGCTGGTCTGGTTCTGCTTCGAGCCACATCTGGCCAGCCACACACCTGCTGAAGCGACCTTCCCGATACGGCAGGATGAGACTCAGAAATCACTCTCGATATCCCTACTAGATATTGACTGTTATCTCAAGTATTAAGTGTAAAACATTTAATTGACAATTAGTCTGTGGATGGGTTCTGATTTTGTTTCTGATTTTGTGGATTGTGTTTAAACAATTCAAAAGTATGTTCCTGACTTTGAGATACTAAGTGGTATTGCACAGTTGTCACTTTATTGAATGTGTACAACAGTCCTATGAAGTTTATAAAGCATACCCTTGTATAGCTTCAGGTGCTAGAATTAAAACTGATCTGTTATCATGATGATGCTTGATCACTTGTTTTGTTATTGTAGTGGTTTCATGAAGCAATGAGTTAAAGGAGAAACTTAATTCTTCCGGCTTTCCTCACCAGTGATGTAGGACTTTAGTCTAAAAGTTAAATCATTCGGCAGGTGAAGTCGATGTGAAGCAGATTGGTGTTCTTAGTGCTTTCTGGAATGTTTCCTTAAGTTGGTATTTTTAAGCTTTTTACGTGAAGGTTCCCTGGCAGAACACCAGCTATAACATAAAGAGGAGGATGCATGTAAATACAGTCCTATGAGGAGGAAGCCTAAAACAGCTGAAGCCCCAGAGGCATTGGCTGGAATACTGATGAAGATAATAGAGTTTTACATTGTACTTCATAATCTAGTCGTAATGATAGGGAATTATTTCTCTTTGTAACTCTTGTAGTAAAAACAAAAGTACTGCCTTAGTGCTATGGTGTGTTGTTAGCCGTATTTTCAAATGGAAAAGTTTGTTGTAGGCGCGAGAAGGGTCGGCTCATGCACTGTCTGAATTTCACGGGACACCTTGCCAATTTTGTGATTTCAGTGTCCTTTTCCCCTCTGCACTTGGCTTTGGGTTATTGCTAGTGCTGCATCTTAATTTCTAAACATTTCTTCAGTTCTGTCTTATTATTCATCCTATCCTATACATTTTCATCATGTTTGTATATTTCTCTGTTCAATTTCTTACCTGGATTCCCAGGAACTTGGGCCCTAATACCTTATCTGTTGTATGTTATGAGTTAAACTCTCACCTGTGTAACTAGAATAATAGTAGCAGAGAACCTTCCTTGGGAAAAATTGGGAGACTGTCACTGCAGTGGTTTTCTCCTGAATCCTTGAGGAACCTGCTGGTAAAAGGCTACTTCACGTGTGTGAACGTGGTTGTATCAGCCATGGTCGTGGCTTTGCTGACCCATCGTCACTGTGCTGTTTAGATTGGCTTCTGTTGGCTTTCTTCAGAGGCGTGGATCATGTTTTCCTGTTTTGTCTCCTGTGTAGGAAATTTTGTGTAGATTACAGAGGTTATGTATTTTGGGTCTGTACATTTGCTGTCTTTGTCTGAAGATTGTGGGCAGATAGTTAATCCAATTTTGGCTCAGTTTGGGTTTTTCACATCACACATTTAAGCTTAGTGCAGGATGGATTAGCTCCCTAGTCAGCTGAGGCCTTTTAGAGGTCTCCACTCCTGCCCTGGATGGTCTGTAAGTACTGGACAATCTGAACCTTTCCCTCCCCCGTGTGAGTGCTGCAGTCCATTCTGTGGACGCTCCTTTTTATTTTTTTGTAATGATCTTTTTTTTCAAATCTTTATTGGAAAGGCAGATACACAGAAAAATCCTCTGTTTGCTGACTCATTCCCCAAGTGGCTGCAACAGCCGGAGCTGAGTTGATCTGAAGTCAAGAGCTTCTTGTGAGTCTCCCATATGGGTGCTGGGTCCCGAGGCTTTGGGCCACCCTTCACTGCCCTCTCAGGTCACAAGCAGGGAGCTGCAGCTGCTGGGACATGAAATGGCCCCGCATGGGATCCCAGCGGATGCAAGTTGAGGATTTAGCCACTAGGCTATCACCGTGGGCCCTCTGGGCACTGCTTGGTCATTTCTTTTCCTGTGCCTGATCTTTGGCTTGTGCTTTACATAAATACATCTGAAATTTCATGTGAACAAAGAATCACTCACCCTATGCATACTTTTGGAGCATTTTCATTGTAGATTTTTCCTCTCCAGGACATAGTCTGCCTCAAAAATTTCTTTTTTTTTAAAGATTTATTTATTTATTGGAAAGTCAGATATACAGAGAGGAGGAGAGACAGAGAGCAAGATCTTTTGCCCAATGATTCACTCCCCAAGTGACCGCAACGGCCGATGCTATGCCGATCCGAAGCCAGGATCCAGGAACTTCTTCCAGGTATCCCACACAGGTGTAGGGTCCCAAAGTTTTGGGCCGTCCTCGACTGCTTTTCCAGGCCACAAGCAGGGAGCTGGATGGGAAGTGGAGCTGCCAGGATCAGAATTGGCGCCCATATGGGATCCCGGTGTGTTCAAGGCTAGGGCCTTAGCTGCTAGGCCATGCCACCGGGCCCCTGCTTCAGAAATTCTAATTTCCTGTCTTTCAGGGAGATTGTTTCAGGGAAATACGGTGCTCTGCTTGGGATCCCTCAGCTCCTTTGCATATCTGGAAATGTGTCTTTCCGAGGAAAGCCAGGACTATTTTAAGCATAACCTTATTTATTCTCTTCCATCAGGGTTTGTAGTCACATGCCGTCTGAAAAATTATTCCGACAACTTTGCTGCTTCGCTGATTAAAAGGTGAGGGAATAAATTGGGCTCCTCCTGCTCCAGCATGATTACAGGTTGACATTTTTCCCATTAGATTCCTATCATGTAATCAGAAGTGCCTTACATTTTAGCTCTCTGATGTGAAAACTTCTGTCAATGGTGGTGTGTCTCAATGCTCGCGTGAGCCTTTCTTGTGTGGCCTTTTTTTTTTTCTTTAAGCAAACGCCACTTGAGTTTTGTAGGCCATGTGATCTCAGTCCTCACCCCTCGACTCTGGCTTAACACTGAAGTGTAGCCATAAGCACCGTCTTCAGTGAGTAGATGTGGCTGTGTTCAATAAAATTTTATTTTGTGTTTCAAAGAAATCACATCATGGTAGTATTTTTAAAAGGTTTATTTTTACTTGAAAGAATTAGCAACATCGTCCATCTGCCGGTCCCCGCCCCCCAGTTTCCTGCCACAGCCAGAATTGGGGCCGTCTGAAGTTCGGAGGCAGGAGCCTCTCTCGGTTCTCGTGTGTGCAGGTACCCTTCTTGTGCTGCTTTCCAGGCTGTAGCAGGGAGCTGCGTTGGAAGTAGAGCAGCTGGGACATGAACCATGCCAAGTGGGAGACAGTATCACAAGTGGAACATGGGTGTTCTTTGCCACAGTTCCAGCCCCCAAATGTTAGCCTTTTGCATTTGTTTAGAACTGTAAAAGTTACTTTGTACAAACAAGAGGTGGTGGAGTGGATTTGACCCATGTGTTCATTGCCAGCCCTGCTCTTGGTAGCACATTTAACAATGAAGGTTACATTCTAAACTTTGGAATTTGTCTCTTTATGACATTTTTTTAAGGGATGTGGATTTAAGGGAGAGGTTGGATGTTGGATGAGAGGCTGTTGGAATTGTGGAATCTATCCTCTGAGTCTGATAAGCTCAGGGCAGAATTGTGTTGTCTGGACTCTTTTAACTGCATTATCTGGCATGTACACAAAAGCACTTTGAATGATTTCAACAAAGTTGCTGAAGATGTGAACTGCAGGAAGCAGGAAGGGAAGTGAACCTTAGAAGTATGTCCAAAACACGGTTCAGTGTCCCAAATACAGATGCCAGAGAACTGCAGAGTGGTGTCAGTTCGTATCAGTAGCACAGGCTACTCTGAGTGACAGAAATGTGTAATGCTTGTGACAGTCAAATGAGGGTTGGTCAGGAGGCATCGGGTACAGAAGGGGCATTTACTGTTTTGAACTAGTGATTGAAGATATCGAAGTGGAGAATAGGTACCAGAAATGTGTGAGAGGAGGGTCAGGGGTGGTAATATTTATATAGAAAAATAAACATTTGGGGAATGGAAGATTAAGAGGTAATAAAAAGTTAACAGAAGTCAGAAGCAGGAAAGAACGAAGAGCTTGTTTTGTCAGGGAAGCCAAGGTGGGGCCAGTGTGTGGCAGGTGACAGTAACAGTCACTTATTCATTCTGGAACAAGTATGATTGGAGAGAAAGGAAATGGGAGGAATTCAGTTATTGTGAGGAATTTTGTGGCAAAATCTAGGGGATGATGAGTTGCTTACCTTACTTTAGGGGTAGGATATTTTCATTCTTTCTTTTCCTTTCCCTTCTTTCTTTCTCTTTTTGATTTTTTTTCCCTCTCCCGTCCCCTTTTAAGCAAATTTATTTGAAAGGTTTTACAGAAAACTTCCATCTGCTGGTTCACTCCGTAAATGGCTACAATGGTCAGAACTGAGCTGATCCACCGCTGGGAGTCAGGAGCATCTTTCAGGTTCCCATGTGAATGCAGAATCCCAAGGACTTGGGTCATCTTCCCCTGCCCTTCTAAGCTATAAGTGGAGAGCTGGACTGGAAGTGGAGTAGCTGGAATACTCATCGGATGCCAGTGTCACAGGGCAGAGGTTAAGCCTGCTGTGCTGGCCTTGGAATATGCTATTAGAACAAGGTGCTTAATCAGAGATTAAGTAGGCAGTTTGCATGTCTCACTAACTGAAGAGCATAGTGCAGCCTTTCCAAGACTGTGGACCAAATGCCACAATCAGTGAATTGCTAGGAAAAGAATCATTGTTACATTCATATTGGCAGTATCAAATGACTATAAAAGTTTCAAAACACTGGCTTTTCAATTTTGTTTGTGAATGTGACCTGGCTATAGACAGAGATATGTAGGATATTTCTTAGATATAATCTAAGGAGATTTCTTAGATGTAAGGGACAGACAGGACTTAGATCTTTCTGTTTTTCTAGGTAGGTGTTGCATCTCAATATTAGAGAAATAGACTCTGATGAACTGTAAGTGTTTAAAGGAACTGGTATTTCTGAATAAGATTTTTTTTCCTTTTAATAAACATTTCTTGATGTAGAGAAATTGTTTAAGCATGTAACTGCTTAAAATATGTAAACTATTACCAGTCATTTCTAAAGATAGGAATATTTAGAGTGAGAAAATGTTAATGAGTGCTATCTTATAAGACATTATGAATATCATGAATGTTAAGTGGATGTAAAAAATTATGCATGTGTTTTATTTAACTTGTGACAGGAATGCACCTCAAACCACCCTCAGCACGAAGTGGGCATTTACAAAGATCAGATTTTTGAAGACCTGACAGACAGATGTGGTAGTCTGGTTTTCTGTGAATCCTGGGGGAGAGTACCCCCAGGACCTGTTGTTCTTGGGGTAAGACTCAGCTGAATTGTAGAGGAGGAAGTCTTTCAGTGTGAGAAAGCTTGTGCCAGAGCCTCATTCTGGGAAAGATAAGCTAACCCACTCTAGCCTGTCCAGCCACCTATGCTACTTCTGTCTTCCCCTGTTCATCTGCCCTCCCCTTGAAGCCTAAAAATCCTTTGGAACTAACAAGGTTTCTAAAACAGAATGTCATAATTTAAATTTGATAGTATTAGGTCTTTTGCTTCAAGATGTGAAAGGCTTCCTACTCACTAGCGAGATTTCAGCTGCTTTTTATAATGTTAGTGTATCTTCAAATAGGATTAATTTTTCATTTACTCTACTATAGGCCATATGAAGAACAAAATCATTCAGTTAATAGCACCTCCTAAGCATTTTAAGAAAGCATTATGTACACTCCCCAAAAGCTCTTAAAAGCATGAAATAAGAAAATAGTGGAAATGGGTGTCTTCCCTGATTCTAGTTGCAGTTAGGGATTGAACATTTGTACTTAGCTCTGTTTGGGTAACAGTGGTTCTTTACAGTATATTCATTTGCATTTGAACTTCACATAGCAGAATTCTGAAGCTGGGCTGTCCAGGTCAGATTTCATTGTAGAGTGATAGAGAGAGAACTTCAGTTTTTTTGTTTTTTTTTTCAAAGTGCAATCGATTGACTTGGAAATGATTGTGTATTGACATTTTAGCCATGGACTTGACCTGGGTAATTTAGGGATGTGAGAAGGTAGAATGTGTCTCTTGACTTCCTGGAACGAGCACATAGACTGAGTATGCTAAATTCATGTTTACTATACACAGCTCAGTAAAAACAGCACAGAATCTTTTAAAAGTTTTCCAGTTCTGGGTTTCAGGAAGCCCAGGATTTATTCTCACTTGCTACAACAGATTTCTTCCAACCATAACGCGAAGTGACAGGTAAGTGACCCAGTGTTTGATTGGGAAATCTCTGAACTTAGTGGTATCATAGAATATGAATTACAACTGGTTTGACATTGATAAGAATGTAGTCAACAATTACAACAGTGCTTTTGAAGCAGTTCTTACTGGATATCTTTTTTATGATCTCTACAGCATCTGAGGTGGAAGTCCAAACAAATGTCCGCTTTTATAATAAAAAGTCTTTATTCAAAATGATTAGTTAGCCAGAAAAACTATAAACCACCTAACACAAGACTTTGGTAAGGAAAGAGATTTGACTTCTTACAAATTCCCCATTTGCAAACAAAAGACACTTAATGCAACAAGAATCACATTACTCACTTTTTGGATATTAACTGGTTACCTGGTTCTAAGTCTCCAACATCAGAACTGAAAGTACACCCAGCAGGAACCAAATAAGAACACGAGACACTAGGGTGGCTTGTCCTTAGTTACTTAGGGATGGTCATTGTAGGAAATTTGATTTTCCCAGCTTGCAGATAGTTGCATCTGCCTGGTTTATAGAATGTTGGCAAAAGTGGGTGTGTGGTTTGTCCAAGTGGAAAATTAAACTTTTTTTTGGGGGGGGGCAGCATGTTCCCCAGAAGGGAGAGAAAGCAGTATAGTAATAGGCTCTTGGGGAAGCCATATAAAAAGACCTAGGCATCTGATCACTTACTAGCTTAAAAACATGAAACATGGACCCCATGAGTTTTTTTTTTTTTAATTAATCAGTCTTTCTTGTGTTAAAGAAAATATTTAGGGCTATGTCATCTACATGGGTGTTTGAAGATATCCTTATGAGTTTAATGCAGCTTCTTAAGATTAGCAAGATTAGTGTATTATCCAAGTAGTGTATGTGTGTATCTCACCCATGGTACGTGTTTGGATTAAGCATTGATAAAGAAGGTCTGCAAAAGAAACAGTGGTTTTAACAGTAAATGTATGAATAGAAACTACTGATGGACTCAACTGAGGAAAATGTCTTTTTACACTATTCCTTGGTAGTCAGCCTCCCTGAACATGGTGTGCTTATGGATGGAGGTGGAAATCCCCGGGGAGTTGGATGAGGCCCAGAGCTCTGGGGGGCGAACTGACTCAGGTTGGATTCCCCATCAGAACTGCTTGTTCAGTGAGATGCCATCAAACTTTTCTGCTAGATTTTCTGTACTTTTACTCCTTGGTCTCTTGAAAGATTTTGTGGCTACAGAGATAGTCTTTTGTTGAAAGAATGTCTTGGGCTCTGGGCAGATGTAGCAAAGTGTTTGTATAAATTAAAAATGTTTTCATTGTAAAACTTGAAAAATCCAGAAGTACAGAATATTCTAAAATACTCTAAAAATTGAGACTTCTGGAGAGGCCTGTTGTTTCCTCGGCCTAAATTCCAGTAGGTTCAAAGGCTGTCTTCTGAGAATTGTGACTTTAAAAAAAGGGTGCTCTGTTAAAATACTTTATTACAGTTGGAAGAACTGGTTACCTTATATTGTATACTAAAGTAAAGCAGCCATCATCTTCCTTTGGGGTATCAGGAACAACAGGAACCAATGTGAGAAGGAATTAAACATACTCAGAATTTCTATATGAAGGAAGGAAAGCCACATGGTTCAGTGGGTCTAAAGGCCTGCCAGCTCTGCTTTCCCCAAGAACTAATGGTGACTAAGGGGATTTGAACAAGAGACCTACCCTTGAAGGGATGAGTCATTTTCTGCGAGAATGAGCAGGAGCATGTGCTCTGTTCATTTGATTGGAGTATTTCCTGCCTGCTGGACCCTGGGACCAAGGTACAGTCATTTCCATACAGTTACCTCTCCTTGTGGAGGAGGCCGAGGTCTCTGTCCTGCCTGGCCAGATGGACACATTTCTAATAGTACAAGGTGGCTGATACTACGTACGTGATTCTGAGCAGAAAGAAGGCCAGATGAGAGCGTGGGAGCCCCATTCAGCCTGTACCCACCAGGAAGCATTCAGGAAGAATGGCTCTGGCATCCACAAGACTAGTTGACAAACCACACTGCAAAAAATGAAAACTAGCAAACACAATTTAAATTGTCTTAAGCAAACAATCCAGCCATTGGTGACTCTGGACTCTATAGTGCAGCCCTGGGGAACTTGTGCCCTTGCTAACAAGGGTGGACGTTACATGCTCTGATCTCCTTCTTGTCTTTGCAGCTGGTAAACTGGGAGCTTTTGAACCTCTTTTTTACAGTCATGTAGCGTTCCTGAATCCCGCCTCCGCACAGTTTGGTGCATTCTGACCAGGCTGTCCAAGGGCGCATCCTACAGCCTGAAAACATGAAGATGCATGGTTAGTGACAGAACAGGGACACTGATAACCTGGGAGAGCCATCAGATTGTCTGGGCTTCTGTACTCGTGCATGGAAGGGTTTGTTAAATTAGTGTTAGATGGCACGAGTTGGCTGTAAATGCTTACAACTTCCTACCAGTGTGTTCTCTACCACTTGTGTTTAAGCTTGACTTACTTGCTTTGGCCTATGAGATATAAGTAGAAATAATGGCTTGAAGAAAACCATGGGGATCCCTACACGACTATCAAACAAACCTGGCTAGCCTTCAGGAGCAGTTCTGTGGAGATGGGTTCCAGTCACCCCATGTGGCCCTGGAAGTGCAGGTGAGGTTGGTGTAGCCCTTTGAGCCTAGTTAGACCTGAGAATTGTCCAGCAGAGGCAGCTCGAGTCACTGACCCACAGAATCATGTTAGTGATGCATCGTTGCTGCTGCTGGCTAGCAGCATTTGCTAGCAGCATTTGCAGCATCTACTCTGCCCTGCCTTCCAAATACTAAGTGAACTGAAGTATGAGTTTGTTTTTCTTATTCAAAGTGCCATTCTTGAAGAAAAGCTCTCTGACATAGGTGGTCTTAGTGTTTGCTCACTGGCTGACTGCCTGTCGTGTGCAACAGTGTTTTCATAGAGGACCAGCTCCCTAAAAAAAGGATAGTGAACTGTCAGGTAACCTTTTACACCCTGTGAATATGTTAATGTAATTTTTTCAGGGTTATTGTAAGTGTTGTGTTTATTGCTCAGTGACTTCTTGGCTGTCATATACAATGATGGGGCATGACTAAGGAAAAGTGAAGAAAGGAGGGTAAATTAAGCTAGGCTTCTCAATACCGTGAGACCCTTGATGTCGCATTTACCTTCACTATTGTTTGGGCAACTTCCTTACTCATTCCAGGGACTCTAAAGACCAAGTGGCAGCCTTCGCCTTGAGACTACCTTGGATCTTCTCAAGCACTGCAGCAGTTTGCTGACGACAGTGCCTTTGGCCTAGCCCTCCCAAAGCCCCAGGTGGGATTTTTTTTTCTTTAAGATCTTGGAATAAACTAAGATGCCTGGAGGGAGTTGAAGGGTGGGGCTTAGATTCCTTCTCTAAAAGCAAATCTGGGTTCTGAGCCTTTTTTTTTTGCCGCCTCCAAATCACTCCACACAAGTCTGATAAAGGCACTTTGTTTAAACCGACCTACAGATTCTTGAATCTCCAATCCGCAGCAGCCACTGGTGTGTCAGAGGGTGAGATCCAGCCCTGCCCTTCCTTGAACTCTGTGCTCCTCTCATCCCACAGGGATGCGACATTTGCAGTACTGCTGCCAAAAACTAAGTCCTGTGTGTTCTTTAAGATCCATGTAAGCTTTGCTGCTGACATCCTTCTGAATTCCAGTCAGTTTAAGATGTTCCCTTAGCACTGGTCATGCGAACATTCATTAGATACCAGGCACCTACCTAACTTAAAACTCAAGGCCACCTTGATACTTGTTAAACTTTGTGGTATCCTTGCCCTTAGCGTGGATGATAATTTGTTCTAGGAAGTCCTTAGGATCATGCCCTAAATGACAACTGAGATTCTTTAGGCACATCTATGTAATTTTCTTCATTTACAAGGATTGAATGGGGTTATGTTGCTGTAACAGATCTTTAGCAAGGCTGGCAGGACTTTGGTGTTGTATATGCTTAGGATGGAAGGGAAGGAAGCAGCTGGGTCTTGAAATTACATGTTGGCAGATCATTGTTATCAAAGGGTTCCTTGATAAAGAGTTCCTGCTCCATCTGTTTCCTTTGTAAATTAGATTTCTCTGGGAGAATTTTATATTTAAGGAATTAAAATGTGGTAGGAAGATTTCAGAAGCCCCATCTTTCTTTTGGCAGAAGTATGACTTAGTGCAGTGCATGCCCCAGGCTGCCCTGGAGACCAGCCCTGTCCCACCCTGCCACCATACCTGGGAACTGCTCCCCGTCAGACTCCTCCCGCAGCTGCTCACTCCTCCGGCTCTCTCGGGCCTCCCTCCAGCGCAGCTTCTGGATAGATGGATTTCGAAGGCATTTGCGTACACGGCATTTCTTCCGCTGTACAGTTTCTGGGCAGGGTGCACCTCCAAACTGAGGCTCCATTTGGATCATCCGGGTTCGAATCATGTGACCTTTTCCACATGACTTGTTGCATTCTGACCACTGGGCCCACTCGGTGAGTTCACAGTCAATGGCTGGCAAGAGAGAGAGGGGTGGAAGTGTATTGCAGATCTGAAAAGATTCAGCCACTTGGCACTCCCCTTTGATCATCTCGGCAAACCTTCAGAGTACAGAGCAGGCTTTGTTACTTCAGCTCCTGTGGTTGGTGAACAGGGGTAAGATTACCCATAGCCCATAGCCCACAGCCTATGCTTTTGATTCCAGGCTTTGGGAAACATGGGTGATGTGTTCAGAGCCTGTTGGCCTGCTGTCTAAGCCAGACCAGCTCAAATGGCATGGATTACTCTCCCAGAAGCCCAACGGCCTGGGTTTTCTCAGGGAAGACATAGCTCACTGGTGTTTTTAGAGCAAGGGCAACAAGGCCCCTTGCTGCTAGCTTTGGAGGAACAAGCCAACAGCTTAGATGGCTGCCCCTTGTGTGTTAGTACCAAGGACATTGTGACTTGTTTTTGATATCATCTTGTGCCTCTGGTTGGTGGTCTGTGCAAAAAACCACAGCAGCCAGAAATGGGTCAGGAGCAAGTTGTGGTTTATGGTTTATTACAGTAGAGAGCCAGGACATTTAACAAATGTGAAGGAGAAATAACACATCAGTCTGATTGTCATGACAAATGATCTTAAGGTCTTCATTGGCCTGGCAAGGCTAGGGCCAGGCTGGAGCCAGGAAGGCCTAATTGAGTGCCATTGTGCCATTCTCAGGCTTCCCTTCCCCCACCCCCCTGGGAGCTCAGGTAGTTTTTTGACTGCACATAGATGCTACTATTTTTCTTACTAGGTTGTGAAGAATGAAAGTGCGTCCCCACCCCTCTCAAAATGATCCATAAGGGTTCATTTTTCCTCCCGTCTTTCAGTAGGTTCTGTGGCTATGATAAATAAGGAAGAAATTCAGGTAGAAGCAACTGGGTCAGCTGTACCTAATTGAAAGCACCAGGCTTGGTTTAGCTGATGGATCAGGGTTATCTCCTGACATGTGACTATGTGCAGCCAGCACTGCCCAGCAGCTGTCGTATGGAGCACTGATTGAAGCCTTTACTTGCCGGGTCCAGTACTTACAGACCAACTAAGGAAGTGTTTTCTGCTGTTCAGATGAGGAAACTGGGGCACCAACTGGGGAACCGCAAGGACTGGACCTTGGGCCTGGACAGCAGCTGGAGGTACTACCAAGGGGAGGGAGAGTGAAAAGTTACAAGTGCCCGCCCTTTCACCACCTAAAAGAGCAGTTCTCTTGAAGACTAGGCAGTGAAACAGGAGCTTTTCTTGAGATTAGTGCCCAGATCATAAAGATAGCTGGCTGCAGACTTTCAAGGGAGTGGGCAGAGACCTGCTGGGGACCTGGTGGTTTACTGGTCTTCCAGGCTGCAGGAGGCACTGATTACCCATGAGTGGAAGTTGTTATTAGTTAAAGAAAATGGTAAAAGGGAAGAGAAACAGGGTTCAAAAGCTTGGAAATTCTGTGGATCAGACAAGCTCATAATTGGGAGAACTATGGTTTATTGAAATTATGTAAGTCTGAGCAACTTGCAATTTGTTGTAGACTGTAATGGGAAATCCATTTTGCTAAGGAGATCATAAAGAACCATGCCAGTGCAAAGACCAAAACCTCATGCTGTTTGCCCCCTGTAAACACTTTCACTATAGGATTGGCATATTATCAATGTGATAGAGCTGGCTTGCAGTCACTGGGCTCGGGACTGCAAGGGGGGAGGTGGGGAGTAATGGAGTTTGGGGTTCGAACTTACGGCATTCAGGCAGCATGCACTTCTCCGCCTGCTCCAGCTCCTCGTTACAGTCTCCGAGTTCCGCTAGAGACTTCAGCATCCGCTGGCGGGTCCGCATGCCCTTCCCACAGGTCACACTGCAGTCGCTCCACTCGGACCACGGGGACAGCAAGCATGGGATGGTGTCTAGATCAAGAGCCAGGTCTGCCTTTCAGAATGAGCTTTGACTTGCTTTCCTCTCTTTAGCCCTACAAGGTCTTCCCTTCCCCACCTCTTGCTTTAGCCCCCACTAGTGACTCGGCAACCTATAGCTCTTGTTTATCTCCTGCATTGTGGTCAGGACTTGACATCAAATGAGACTCAATAATCTGAAAATACTTGAAACAGCTCTTGAGGGGCTACCAGCACTCCTTGAGAACCCCTAGGAACTGTGTGTGTTACAGGGTAGCCTCAGCCCAATGTTCTTGGATACTGCCTTTGGAATTTGTGTTTGTAAGCATTCACGTGTTGCTGAGCTGGCCTGCACACATTTATGCTTGGAGCAAGGGCTGCTAAGCTTTACAGAGCCTGACCATTCCAATGTAGAATAGGAGCGCACTGCACTGGGCCATTGTGTCCTGCCTATTACCTGAAATGTGCAGTCTACCCAGAGGTCAGCTGTTTGTTACCCCAGTGTTGCTTAGGGTTCTCTAAAAAAAGGCACAGTTATTTCCCCTCCCCTGTGGCTCTCATCCTTACCAATAAGATAACATAGGTCATGCTTTTCTCCTGCGCCTGCTCAGCTTCCCGTTTCCAGGTACTCTGGAGGACGGAGAGATGACTAGGCAACTACTCACGGCACTCGGGCATCATGCACTTCTCGGTCTGGGACGTGTCTGCCTTGCACATGGAACCATCCGCGGGGCTCATCTTGACCATGCGATGCCGCTTCTTCATGCCCATCCCACAGGTGGCGCTGCACTCATCCCATTCGCTCCACTCCGTCATTAGGCAGCTGCTGGGAGCTGGGGAAGGTCCCAGTGAGTTGTGGTCCTGCCGTCAACCCCTGCAGTGGCTCCTGCCCATGCCACCCACCCACCAAGCACTCTCACTCACAGCACTCTTCATTGACTGTGCACTTCTCGGTCTCCTCGGTTGGCAGCGTGCACACGGAGCCATCCTCGGGGAACTGCTTCACATATCTTTCCCGCGACCGCATGCCTGTGCCACAGGAGATGCTGCAAGGCGACCAGGTGATCCACTCGGACATGGTGCAGGTGGAGCCGTCTGCAACACAGGAGCGGAGAGCATGCTGCAGGAGGGTGGCAGGGGGGACAGCCATGAGGAGCAACTCCCCAGAACTGCCCATGGCAGGAAGCACTAGGCAGGGGAACTGAAAGGGAGAACATCTCTAAACCGGGAATTGTTCCCCTAGGGGAGGTGCCCATTTGTGGGGCACTCAGAAGTCTCATCCCATGGAAAATACATTTGAATAATGCTCAGATTCATAAAGGATGTGTATGTATGAGTGTATATGCACACACACAGGTTTATACAAAACATGTACCACAAGGTATCTTACATTTAAGACAATTTTATATAATTTAAGACAAACAATCGGTTTCTGTGATCTACAGTGTTAATACGTTTAGGACCATTGAATAAGATGATGCACTTCCTTCAGTGCACCTGTGCCTGGTAGGTACAGTGCAGTTAATAGAACATTTTCATCCTTGCAGGAAGTTCCCTTGGACAGTGTTGGAAGACCTGACATATCCTGATAGGTGGAAGCTCTTAGAGGAAATAGACTGATCATGTCATGATGCATTTAAACAGCAGAAAATTAAACTTGTAACTGTTACTGAGGGACTATACTGTGCTAATACTGGGAGGAAAGAACCCATATATCTGCAGAGCTGTATCGTGGAAAGCAAAAACAGAATCGACAAGTTAAACCTAAGGGCAGGCTATTAGAAGACATGAGGTAATATCACAGCAGGTAATCTTGTTCTAGTGTAATTCAACTGGGGGGTATGAGACTTGATTTCCCCCCCCCCCCCCCCATCCAGGCTTCCTTTGTCCAGCTAGATAGCTAGAGGGAGGTGCTCCAGGCAAGTTCTGCCCTGCAAGTGTTCCTCAGGTGCTAAAGTAATGTGTGTAAGCACACACTTGCATAAATGTCCCTCAGTTGGTGCCTTGGAAGGTGGACAGAGCGGGAGATGACAAAGCCATTGCTGATGGGCTTGGCTCCAACAGGCGCCATACTGCACAATTCCACCAGACCCTTTTCCTGTTGTCTGAGTTCTTGTGCCATGTGCACAGGGACCTCTGTTGCCTTTCCATCTCACCACTTGCTCCAATCCATCAGTGCAGCGCCTCGCTTCCAGGAGTCACCGGAGAACTTCCCTGGCTCCGAGTGAGGCAAAGAGCATGTGCCTTGAGAATGACAATCGGGCACTGCTCACGATGATTCAGAACCAGCATTCCTACCTGGACATGTTAGGACTGGGGTGAGGAAGGACTCCAACCACATGTAGAGTTCCAGAACGGAGCCTTCGTCCAGGATAGGCCAGTCACCACTTTGTCCTGCCTGCGTTTAGGGATGGTCTGGCTATAGCATGGTTTTCTCCCCTCCAGAGTGCCTATGCAGGGGTAATATCAGTTGGCAATGAATGCCTGTGCAGCCAGGAGAGGCAGGGAGCAAGCTGCAGTGAGTCTGTCTTCACCCTCAGCCTGGATAGGGGTCATCTTACATCCTTGTGCCAGTCTAGCTCATACCTCCCTTCCCATCACTCCAGTGCACCTGCAAGAAGTTCAGTCCCAGCCCAGAAACAGCTCTGTGCAGCAGAGCCATGGACCTTGGCCCTGCGGGCAGCTGAGCGCACTCTGGAAGTTGGGTCATCATGACACAGTGCAAGCCTGACCTTTGGGGCAGCTGCAGATGGAGCAGCTGAAAATTTGACAGCAGCCTGGAAATTCTAACACAACAAAGCAAGCATTCCAAACTCAGACAGTGGTGGAAAACAGATAAGGGGCCATGGATCTGGGCTCAATCTTGGCCAGCCTACTTGTTGGTTCCTTAAAAAGAGACTGGAGTTAAGGCCCAGAGACTCATTTACGTGTCTCTCTCCCAAGTGGAGAACCCAGCTGGCAGTTAGTCAGGATTCTAGTACCCCCACCAGCAGTGCCACCTAATTGCCAGGCAGCTTCCTCCCCTTCCCAAGTTTCTGCCAGCCCTGGGATTGTTGGGTATCTCACCTTCATCACTGCAGCCGGGGCCCATGCAGGGCTGGAAGTCCTGGGTGTCTGGACAGGGGACACTGAGGTCCAGCTGTGCCTTCAGCATGCGCTGCCGCATCCTCTTGCCTTTGTCGCAGGTGGAGGAGCTGCAGGCGGACCATGGGGACCAGTTGGAGTAGATGCAGGTTTCAGGGGTATCATCTGGAATGAACATTTCACACGTTTTCCCTGGAAAGTATTGCGCAAACTGTGCCTGGCCCCACTCCCATACAAACTTGTGTGATGAGAACAAAAGCCCTGTTGCCAGAGCGGCTTCTGTTCATGGCTGTTCCTGGGATGGAGGCAGTTCCCTTTCCCTTAGGATGCACAGGTAGCATCCTGTTAACGAGGACCCAAGTAATAGCAACAGTTCTTTTCCCCTGCCCCGCTCTTTACTTCCGGTCCCTCGCACACAGTCCACATTCATGGAGGCCTGTCGCAGGCAATTTCGGAGAGCAGAGGTCACTGTGTGTGTTTTAAATCCCCTCTATTTGCCCATGCTGTGGGGTCTGATGGAGATCCGGTCAGCTGATGGTCAGGAAGCATTGCACTCAGCCCGTGCTTGCATCATTCTAACAACCCCAGGGGAGTTTATCCCACTGATAATTCGCAACAACACTGTGGGAGGCAGGTGCTGTGGTTATTCCCATTTCTCTGAGGAAACGGAAGTAGAAAAGTCGGCTCATTGTCCCAGGGCTATAGGGGAATCCAGGTGGTCTGGTTCCAGATCTTGTGAGGAGAAAACCTGACCTCATAACTCTGGCCCGACCCCTCCCTCTCTCCCTGGACTGCTGGACATGGGCTGGGGAAGTGGGTGTGTCTGCTCTGCATGTCAAATCTAAACACAGTACAGTCTGCATACTGGGCAGCTGACTCGGCCACCACTGAACGCAGTCACAGATTTCCATGTCATAGCTTCCCAGAGTTCTTGAGATTTTTCTGCCTAATCTTGGCCTTGTTTTAGATTATTTCTTCAGCAGAAATCTTCAAAGATAGGATTACCAAGTCAAAGGATACCAAGATTTCTAAGGTTCTGAAACAAGTTAGATTATTGCTTTGCCTAAACATCTTGCCAATTCGCACTTGGTACCATGGACAACCACGTACCTTCATCTTTCTCTTCTGGAACCAGGTCAGCCACGATATCATCCACATTGTCAGGTACAATATTGCATTGTTCCCCCTACCAAAGGAATTACATTTGAGGGATCACATTAGAGAGTGGGGTGAACATGCAGGGGAAAGATGATGGGGCGTGAAGTCTGATTTTCATGTTGTGTATAAACCCCACACTGTGGCCAAAATCTGGGCCAGTTTTCCCAGTCTCAGTGAAAAAGAAGGCAGAACAGGGAGGGATCCTGACCCATGGCAGCCATTAGCAACTGAGGACAGAACTCAGCAATGCCCACTGGCCTGTCAGATCATTCATTTGTGCTCTGGCCTTGAACTGTTTTCCCCCTAAATGTATTGTGAAGTATCCAGAAGCACTGAGAATTTACATCGGGGCTGTTTTCTGCTAGGAACCTCCTGGTTCTAGAGCAGAAGGGTGAACCCCCTTGGTGTTCCTCGGGGTGATGGTCAGTGCTCAGGGCATCCAGTAACCCAGTACCTTTCGGGCGATTCTCTCGATGACAACTCTGGCCACTTGAGTGATGGAACCACCTTCTGGGTCGTAGAAAGGACTCTGAGGATGGTCCAGACTGGTTAGGGGCCGGATTTTCTCCTGGGGAATTGTGGGCTTGTTGGGGGACTGCAGTGAGGGGGAAAAAAAAAATCAATATTGACAGAAAAAAAAAAACTGACAAAAATCACAAAGGCACTAACAGGCTGGCATCCCACTCAGGAATGTGAATCAGCTCCAGCTACTGCGCTTGTGATTCACCTTCCTGTTGATGTTCCTGGGAGGACAATGCAAAATGGCCCAAGTGCTTAGGTTCCTCCAGCCCAAATAGGAGACCAGAATGGAGCTTCAGAATCGGGGCTTTGGCCCAGCTTAGAGCTTGCTGTTCTGGCCACTGGGGGGAGTGACCCAATGAGTGGAAGTTCTTTGCCTTTCTGTTGCTCTGCCTTTCAAATAAAAAAATAAATAAATAAACACAAAATTAAAAAAACGCAATGACTGTTTAAACTCTGAATGACTGTCATCCAAAAAGAAGAAAATACATCTTGGTGAGGATGAGGCGGGGGAAAGTATTGTACTCTACCACTGATGGGAATGTAAACTAGTACAATCATGATGGAAGACAGTATGGAGATTCCTCAGAGTTCTGCAAGTACATCTCCCATATGACCCAGCCATCCCATTCCTGGAAATTTACCCAGAAGGAGTGAAATCGGCATAGGAAAGAGTTAGCTGTACCCCCATGTTTATTGCATTTCAATTCACAGTAGCTAAGATAGAATCAACTCAGGGGCCCATCAACTGATGACTGGATACATAAAACATGGTATATATACACTATGGAATACCATTCAGGCATAAAAAATGAAATCCTGTGTTATAAAACAACATGGATACAACAAGAAGCCATTATGCTTAATGAAATAAGCGATTCTCAAATATGTTTTCTCTGATCTGTGGCAGTTAATATGTATTAGACAACAAACTATATAGTAATGAAGTGGACAATTTATGCTACGAGTGTCACTTTTTAGTCCTTGTTTCTCCTGTGGAACTGTTCTATTTTTTAGTTGTTGAATATGATGGTTAGCAGTGAATCAAGCCTATGATTGAATTATGTCCGTGCAAAGCCTGCTGAAAGGCAGAGTGAGGGGGGAAGGAAGTGGGGTTGTCTTCTTGGAACTGTACCAATGGGATGCGGGAAATCTGTTTTCTTTGTATTCATAGAAAGCAAATAATCATAAATGCATCTTTTCAAAAGCAATTTAGGAATTTAATAAGTATAACTATGATTAGTACTTAAGGAATTGTAGTCATGTCACACCCTGAAATTAGAAACTGTAGGTCCGAATGTGAAAATTCTCTCACTTGGTAGACTCATGCCCTGAGACTGTTTTGGAGGGGTTGCCCCAGTGAGGACATGGCTTAGCCATGTCAGCCTAGGCCCACATGTCTTCCTGCAAGGGCCAGGCATTGGCAAACGGTCTTTTCTATAGAGGGTCATGTGCTAAATATTTCAGGCTTTTTGAGCTACATTGGAACCTGCAGCAACTACTCAACTTCGTTCTGCCGTGGGACGGCAGCCCCACATGATGTGTGGTGGATCAGTGTAGCTTTGAAAACTTGTATCCACAAATTAGGTCATAGGGCAGATTTGCTTCATATGTGGTAGCTTGCTGATGTCTGTTCTAGACTTCACTGATTTTCTGGTGGCTCTAGCTGGTGGCCACATTTGGCTTGCTGACCCCAATTAATGTCTGAGACAAACAGTATCCTGGACAAATCCAAATGCCTTAGTTTGTCCTCTGGCAGCCTGTGAGGTCTGCCCCTGCATCACGCACGTGGACTTTCTTCTCTCTCTTCTCCATGTGCTCGGCATGCTGCTCCCTCTCTTGCCTGTGGTCTGCTTTTACCTGGGCCCTTTCTCCAGTCCATCCCTGGTCACTACATCACACTCGCCTCAACCCTCCTGTCTGTGATGGCACACCATGCCAGCCTCCCCTACCCGTATGTCCATTTGCACAGGACACGGCCTGCAGCAGATTCATCTCTGTGTCCACGACAGAGCTGGGCAAGGAGGGGGTGCTCTGGAGGTTCATCACTCCCACCTGGGGGGGCACACCCACCTCATAGGTCACACCACTGTCGGTGCCGGCATCCCAGGGAATCAGGTCTTGCACCACCTTCTGCACCCAGCCGCATTCCTTGGTGCACAGATCCTCCGCTGACAGACCCACATTCCAGTCGGGGCTGGGGCCCATCATAGTCAGGAAGGACATCAAGTGGCGTGTCCTGTCCACGGAAAATTCAGCTGATGGCGCTGCTCTCCTGCAAACCAGAGACAGAGAGCATTACTCTGGGAACTCCTGGGGTACACATGCTGAGGGACATCTGGTCCAAATGTTGTAAATGGGATGAGAGACAGGGTGGGGACAGCATGGCTGACCCTGGGATTTATACACTCTCCTGAGCCCATCTGTCAGGCCAGCAATGGAGAGAACCACAGGCGAGCATTCTGCCCAGTTTGCAATTGTCTGTAGGACATCTCATATCCTTGCTTATTTATTCGCTGAGCTGTTTGTGATCATCTTTCACTGGAGCTTGTTCTGGAAAAGCAGGCTCTGTCTGGTTTATTCTTGTGCCTGGCTCAGTGAGTATTTTCGAATAAGTAAATGTTCAAGTACTATTCATTGTGTGTGTGTGTGCCTCTCTGTGTTGCATGTGACATGAATGTAACAAAAACTGCTTGATCATTTTTGTTATTTTAAGATCTATTTTTATTGAAAAGTCAGGTATATAGAGAAGAGGTGAGACAGAGAGGAAGATCTTCCATCTGATTCACTCCCCAAGCAGCCATAATGGTCAGAGCTGATCTGAAGCCAGGAGCCAGGAGCTTCCTCCAGGTCTCCCATGAGGGTGCAGAATACCAAGGCATTGGGCCAACCTCGACTTCTTTCCCAGACCACAAGCAGGGAGCTGGATGGGAAGTGGGGGCTGCTAAGGTTAGAATTGGCGTCCATATGGGATCCTGATGCATTCAAGGCGAGGACTTCGGTCACTAGGCTATCGTGCTGGGCCCTCATGCAAGGACTATCTCAGAAGAAACTTCACAGGAAATACAATTAAGAGAGGTTTTGCTACAAAAAATTTTTTGAAATTCATGCATTATTTTTCATACTGCATGTTTCCCATGAATATTCCTCCTCGTGGTGGACCTGGGAAGATTAGGGATGAGGAATCCGAGACCCTGGAAGTTTTGTAGCTGAGCCAGAGTTGCAAAGTTCAGTGGTAGAATGGAGATCGCGATGCAAGGGCATACAGTTGGAGGTCAACGCTTCCTCAGTCATCTTCATCTAAATCCTCCTGTGTCCCTGTCCACTGTGTTGGGCATTCTATCGTGGCATTTGAGGGAGCATCCTCTGCAGCCTGGGGCTGCCTCCACTGCCTTGGCCCCAGGTGCCTATCCACTGGAGTGCCCACCTGCTGTTCGCTCCTGTCTAGGAGCAGGGATCCAGTGATAGAGCAGACATCATTGGCTGACAACCCCCAAGACTACGTGGCCACAAGAGGGAGCTCTTCGACCTCTATCCCCTCTTGCTGCCAGGACAAGGGCTCAGGAGCTGCTGAGGCTGCAGGGGGTCCATCAGATTGCTGGGGGGGAGGACAGTCCCTCAGCAAATGCTTGTTCACACACCTGTGTGTTCTCATTTGCTCCTATGGCCACCTTGTGGGTTAAGGCTGTCCTCCTGTTTTGCAGAGAGGCAGTGAAAAGCGCACAGAGATAAGTGGATTTGAGGTTGGGGTTTGAAAGCTGCTTGGCCTGACGACTCCCCGGGCTGCTAATCATGAGCACTGCTCGGCCAGGGACCAATGGGTCTCTTCAGTCCAGCCAGCAGCTGGTCAGCTGTACCTGCATAGGTGTCTCTGTGCCCTTTGTTGGGAGCAACTGATTCTGGCTGCCCCACCTGGCCCCAGGTGACTCCAAATCTAGGGCACCCTAGGCAACTGGACCCATGGGTGCCAATGGGACCAACTGATACACACAGTGAGAGAAGCCTGGGCTGGCAAGCTGGCACTGCCTTTTAAAGCTGTGTGGCATTGAGGAAATCACCAACTCCACTTGTGCCTCAGGATCTAAATCTTTAGAATGATGTTATGCACTAAAAATAACTAAATCTGAGTGAGCAAGTGAGCACACATTGCCATCTACTGGTTTCTTCCTCACTTGCCACAAGAGCTGGGACTGGGCACTGGGAAATCTATCTAGAACTCCCATGCGGGTGGCAAGGGCTCAACTACTTGACCCATCTTTGCTGCCTCCCAGGAAGCTGAAATGAAGATCCAGAGCTGGACTGGAACCCAAGCACTGTGATCCAGGACACGGGCATCCTGACTACTGTCTCAACAGGCCACATGCCCACTCTTCAGTGTCTAAATCTTCAAAATGGGGATATGTGTCTACTCCAAAGGTTCTTGCATTAAGTGGCCTAGAGAACTTAGCTCAATGCCTAGCACCTGGGCCAGTATAGTCCAGTATAGTACGGCCATTGAGCGATTCCTAGGGCAGTGTTGGGCCTGCCTGGCTGTACCTACCAACCAGAGGCTGCTGCCATCTCGTGGGGTTTCCTTATGCCCCCAGTGTGCTTCGACCTTTGGGTTGTCCAGGTGTCCCTTGGGAGGCAGGCTTCTTTTGGTATTGTTAGAGACTGCCCACCTAGCCCGTTGCCTTCCATGCATCTAAGTATGTAACCTTGGGTCAGGTTAGTCATTCTTGTCCTGTGCCCCATGGGTGACACAATGATGCCTGAGGGAACAAGAACAGTCCTACCCAGGGATCTCAAGCTGGAGAAACCAATCCAGCGCCCCGCCCAGCACTTGATCCTGCTACTATGCCTGGGTGAGGGATGGGGACCTGGGAGGGAAGGGTGAACATTCTCAAAAGCTGCAGGCAGCCTGAGGGAGGCACGCTCCAGACCCTCCCGCTCCAGGGCTTCCAGGGGCAGCCAAGCTCTGGCCTCCACATGCCCATGGTACCTTTGCATATGGATGGCATTTCACCTCCAGACGCACCTTGCTCCTCACTCTCTCATCTTTGAATAGAAAACCCCTCCATGGTCTCCCCTGATGGGATGCTCCCTGAGGCAGTGTTTCTGCCCTTTTCCAATTGCTCTGGCTTCTGCTGGGCCTTCCCCCAGCATGCTGAGCCCACGCTGTTCTCGACCTCCTTGTTGCCCATCTTCCCCATTAGGTTCCAACAGAGTGAGGACTGTTCTGCCTGCAGCCTGACTTAGAGGATGGCAGGCAGTGGGCTCTTCACAAATGTTTCCTTAAATGAATGAATGACTCCAGGAGGCGCATGTGGGGCTCTCTATGCTCCACCTTACTTCCTTTGACCTTCAAATTTAATTAAACTCACTCCCAAGGATTACTTCTGTATTAAAAATGCTATTTAAAATAATGAAATGGGAAGAGTATCTGTGGGTGTTCCTTGGATGAGAGCAGGTTCTTTGATTTGCTCAAGCTGTCAGTAGAAAGCCTATGGCAGGTTTCTTGCAGGCCGTATCTTCCAGAATATGGTATTTTGCTAATTGGGTTCCATTTTGCTGTCTGCAATTTAAATTCATACATGCTTTCTTAGCACAGAGTTGATCTGACCATTCTAATATCAGGGCATGTTATACTGCATGACGATGAAAAAAGTGCGATTTTCAGGGTAAGACAAAACTACATATTAGTGGCACAGATTGGGCATCCCAGAAACTATACAGATAAGAATTTATGCAAAATAGGCTCTTCAATTTAGGGGAAAAGAAGGATTATGCAACAAGCAGGATGAAGCTAAATTAATTGTAACCAAAATTGGATTCACTTATTAGAATCTGATAAAAATATTAATGATAACTGAGTGGAATATTGAACAACCATATCACAGCCCAAGTCATTTTTGCAGGAAAAGCAAGCAGGAGAAATATTAATTTCCTCAGTTTGAAAACAATGAAGGCAATCAGGAAGAAGGAAATTAGCAGAGTGGATAATATTTAATTAAAAATATCTGTAAAATGCAAATGAAAGAAAATATCTGTATAAAGCAAACAAGAACATACATAGAACAGATCTAGTGCAAAAATCTGAGAAGTAAAATGCTGTCATGTATGAAATAAAAAAGGAAAAAAAAAGATTATTTTTTCTGATTGTTGGGGTTAGAGAGAGAAAAATCTTCCAGCAGTGGAGCAGGCCAGAGGGCAGGCCCTTCATTTAGGCCTGTCCTGTGGGCGGCAGGGCCCAAGCGTCCGGGCCAGCTCACACTGCTTCCCCAGGCCTGTGAGCTGAGCCGAAGCGGCACAGCTGAGTCTTGAACCAATGTTCCCATGGAATACTGGTGTCGCAGGTGGTGTGGTCTCACCTTGGGATGCTGCTGCATGTGGAATGTTCCATGTCTGACCTCATGTGATGAGCCAGTCAGATGCAAGCACGCTAAAAATATTGTACAAAATGATTTCCATACTATGTGCATAAAGTACATTTGCAAAATAGGAGCAACATCATTTCCACCCCAAAGTTTAGTTTGGAGGAGACTGCTTTTCCTGTGACCCACACATAATGGGGTTTGGCAGGGACAGGGGACAGGCTTTTGCTTATGGCACCTCTTAAGATACCTGTGTCCCTGGCTCCAGCCACAGCTCCACTTCCGATTCCAGGTTCCTGGGAGACAAGGAGACAGCCTGCGTACCTACGTTCCGTTCCTGCCACCAATGGGAGAGACCAGATTGAGCTCCGGACTGCTGGCTTCAGCCTGTCCTAACTCTGACTGTTATGGGCATTTGGGAAGTGAACCAGCAAATGGAAAATTTCTGACATTTGTCTGTCCGCCATTCAAATAAAACTACATAACATTTATTTAAAAATTGATTCACTGAAGGTTTCTTTTTCAATGTTTCCAAACAAAACTTCCAGAAACACCACAAAACAGGCAATAAAGGAGTTTAGTGTTACTCCTAGGGAATGTATTAACCCTCTTCCTATTGCAGATCCACATGAGTGAGGTTCAGAAGTTTTCCTAAACCCGGAAATACAGGTTGTGCTGCTGATCATGCCTAGCTTTCAAAGTTGCAGAATCCCGGGTCAGCCACGAGGGGGCGCCCAAACCATTCATTGGACAAGAGTCCTGGATGAGTGGAGGAAAATGAATGGGGTTCCCACTGAGTGGGAAAACTTGGTTAACAACCAGGATTCCAGCTCAGCCCGAAAGCATAGCCCCACCACCTGCTCCTCTAGTCCAACTACTGTTTTCCTTTATAATCCTGAGTTCCTCATGGACCTCGGCTCTGGCTGCAGGAAATGGAGGGGCGGGGGGTAGGCTTGAAGCTTGCAGCCCTGGATGAAAAGAAAAATCCATCCTCTTGGTCTCCGTGGGTTTCTGGAGAGATTGCGCCCCTTCCTCACCGGCTGCACAGCCACTACCCTGCCTTCATCAGATTAAGCCGAGTGGCTGGGAAGAATTTAAGGAGATCACATCCTTTTGCAGGATTCATTGGAAGAAAGAAAAAATCACATTGAGTATTTTCAGTACTCCTCAGCTTAGACCCTCCCCCTCCACTGGAACCAGTGGGTGGTCCAAGTTCAGAATGGAAGGGCAGAGAATCTAGCCCCTTTGACTCGGGCAGCTTCCAAGGGACAGGCAGGAACAACTCTGGGTTTTTGTTCAGAATCTGAGGTTCCTGTCTCTACCTGTACGTGGGGCTGTTGCAGCCCCTGCTTGACTTACTGAGCTGAGCCAGTCAGCAGCTGATTTGTTCATTCACAGCTGTCCGTTGAGAAGTGGTGGGGAGAAAGATGAAAATCATTGAAAATCAAGTCAGTTGCAGCGGGCAGGACCTGGCAAAGTAGGTCAACCCGGCCCTCCCCTGGGGCTCACACAGGGTGGCATCCCGTTAACCTCAATGGGAAGGGCTGGGGGGGAGGTGGGAGGAGGGGGAGGGTGGGAGGGCGGGGGCGGGGCTCTTTCTGCAAAACGAAGCTTGGCTGCACCAAGGCATCCTGACTTGATTTCCTAATGAGATCTGGAAGAGGAAAAGGAAGATCAGGGAATGGGAAAAATCAGAGGAAAAGCCTTGTCTCCGTAACAGGCTGGCAATGTGGCTGGCCAAGGATGGACTGTCTGGGTGAGTTGGCGTCTGCCCTCCAGCAGTTCTGTTGTGTGGCACCCTCAGGAAGTCCGGGGAATGGGCACAGGGGAGAAGGAGGCCCAAACTACTGATTTCTGATTTTCAGAAAGATTTTGTCATCTTAGAAAAGGAAACATGTGGGCCTGATGTGGTAGCCTAGCAGTTAATGTGTTCGCTTTGAATGTGCAGGGATCGCATATGGCCTGGGAAAGCCGAGAATGGCCTGGGGCCTTGGAATCCTGCACCTGTGTGGGAGACCTGGGGGAAGTTCCTGGCTCCTGGCTTTGGATTGGTGCAGCTCCTCTCTGTCTCTCCTGTCTGTCTCTCCTCTCTGTATATATGACTTAACAATAAAAAAATTAATATTTAAAGAATAAAAAGGAAACATGGGGCCACTGTGTGGCGAGTGGGTAAAACCACTGCCTGAGATGCCAACATCCCATACGGCTGCTCCAGTTCCCATCCAGCTCCCTGATGAGGCACCTGGGAAAGCAGTGGGAGATGGTCCAGGCTTGTGGGCCCCACCGCCTGCTCCTGGCTTTGGCTGGGCCCAGCAAAGGCCACCGCAGCTGTCTGGGAAGTGAACCAGCAGATAGAAGTTCTTTGTGTCTCCCTCTGTCTAACTCTTTCAAATAACTAAATCTTAAAATATGCAAGCAGGAAACATACTCCCGTGACCTCTAATCCCCCAGAGCCCCCGGGCCGCTCTCTCCTTACACAGAGCCACGTGTGCGTGTCCACTCTGGACCCACACTTCTGCTCACATCCCACCTGCTCCGGATGCTTCCCCATCATTCAGCAGAAGGGCTTCTCAGGCAGGCCACAGAGGGGTTTCATGCGGATAATTGCAAAGGGCCTTTCGCAGCCCTGATGCGCCATGATCCCTCGGCAGCCGGGGCACAGCTTCCGGAACACCCTTCCTCCTCTCCGAACACACCTCCGGCCTGGTCTCCTTGCGCTGCCTCCTCTCTTTCCTTTACAGACTGGTCCATTCGGGAGCCCTCCTAGAGTCAGTCCTGAACTTCAGTGCTCTCCTCAAGCTCTCTGTCCACGCCCGTGGCACTGGCATTGCTTGTTTGCTCCGAATTCAGTACCTCAGCGCAGGATTGTCGCCCTGAGATTCTGGGTGAGCCGGCTCCCGGGGGCCTTGCCGCCTCTAGCTGGGCATCATGAAGACACCCTAACAACCCAGCACCTTCAGCGCCCGCCTCGTGGTCTTTCCCTCTGCACGTCACCGAATGCTCCCTGTCATAGGAGGATGCCCTGTGCGCGGCTCTGCTGACTTCTCAGCCCTGGAGGCGACGGGAATGCTCGCTTTCCCTTCCTCCCTTTCTCATGACCCCGTCCTGTTGTGTTCCTTCTCGGGCATCGCTCACGTGGCTCTCTCTCCATTGTCATCACCACGCCCTTGCTAACCCAAAGCACAGTTCATTCTCTCCTGCTCTCTGCCGCAGTGCCCTCACTTACCCTTTTGCATGGGAGCCGTGTGTGTGCGCATGCGTGCATGCAGATCTGAGCACACCATCCTTCTTATAACCTTTCAATGATTTCCCATTGCTTCTAGTGTAAAAATCAAAATCTTAATGTTGCATATCACGGACCCGCCCCAAACTCTTCTTCGATTTCTGGAGCTAGTGACACCATTTATCTATCTTAAATGCTCCAAGTACACTCCACCCCCCCATGTCCTCACTCTGGGCCTTTCCTTATGTTCGTCTCTGGATTTTCTGGAAGGTTCTCCTTGCTTTGTTTCTAATTTTTCTTAAAAAAATTTTTTTTTAATCTGAAAGGCAGATTAAGAGAGAGTCAGAGAAAGAATGTATTTTTCATGTGTTGGTTCACTCCTTAAAATGGCCGTAAGAGCTGGGGTCAGAAAAAGCCAACAACCTGAGAATCCATTTGAGTTTCCACATGAGTGACAGGTGCCCACTTCCCAGGCACATCAGCAGGGAGCCGAACAGGAAGCAGTGTAGCCAGGACTTGAACTGGTGCCCCTAACGTGTCAGAGTGCCACTCCTGTGCCACAGGGCTGGCCCCACCTGCATTACTTCTTCACCTTGTCAGACCTTCACACTGGCACTTCCTGGTGGAGGCCCTCTCTGACCCCCAGGCTGGGCCAGCACCCCCTTCACATTCTCTCCTGGCCCCCCTGCCTTTCTCTCTTAGCCAAGCTACATTTGTTTGTGTGGCTGACAGATCCCACTGAACTGGCAGTTCCATTAGAAACGCTGCTCTACTCACCTCGGAGCCCTAAGTACCTTTCCCAGTCGTTTTATTTGGAGACCGATGACAAATGCTCATCGACACCATGAAATGTTTCAATCATCTTTGACAGGAGGATAAGTGAGAGTCAAGATTCTGTTTTGCTTTGAGGTGGAGGCAATTTGATCTGGTCACACTGCTAATTTCATGCTGATCAGAAGCCTGACTGGCAGATAGATAGATTAATTCTAAAGTGGGACAATGAATGAGCTGTCACTTAACCAGAAGGATCTTGTGATAGGCTACGGTGTAGGCATTAGCGCCAGCTGGGTTTGGGACTGCATGTCGACACTGGGCCTGCCCTGTAACTTCAGTGTCAGCACCCCAATCCCTACTTTGTCAGGTTAGGGGGAACGCCAAGTGCAATCATCAACGTAAGGGCTTACCAGGGTACTTGACACACAGTGGATTCTCACAGTAAATGATGTCTTTCTCCTTTCTTCCTTTCCTCTTTCTCTTCTGAATGTATCTTGCTTTAGCTTTTACGCTTCATTCAACTCTGCTTCCTCGAGGGAATCCTGATATCCAAACGCTATGACTCCCAGAGCCCAGCCCACACCTGCCGTTGGGTGCTCGCCTTCTCAGAGAACCCAAGCTGATGTTCCTGTACAGGTTCTGGGAGCCCAGAAACCGAAGTTCAAGGCAGAGCTCAGGCCGCTTAAATTATGGGTGGACTTGACTGCGGTTAGATGTCAAGTGGGCCCACGGTCTAACAATCCATCTATTTAATCTTTTTGTCTCTCCACCCATCTATCTGAAGAAGAATTTGGGGAATTGTCAACACAAACCTGGATCCCAGAGATTCAAGAGCAGATGAAATTGCCAAGTAACAGGGGACAGAACCCTGAGTAAAAGTCGCTCAGTGAGAGGGATTTGCTTTGAGGAAATACACCTGTGGACTCTGAGGTAAATGTGTGTTCAGTCTGTGGTGAATCACGGTGAATCAGGACACCCAGGCGGAGCCCTCTGCAGTGCGAAAGCCACTGGGGGCGAGAGCGAGCAAGTAGCCAGGAGCACACGTGATGTTATTTGCATGAGCAGCACTGTGCTTGCTTATTCATCTGACAGGTAATGCTACTGACCTGAATGACAGCTGGTGTGTGATGGCCATGGGGTAGGTGGCTTCGTGTGCAAGGCTAGGAGGGAACAAGGGTCTATTTGCTACTTACACATTGACAGGCTGCCACGCTGGCCACTGGGCTTTGGCTTTGATGACAGTGAGAACTTCGTCACTCTGCAAAACAAAGAAGCACAGACTGAGTGGACAGAGCTGGGTCCATGAGAACTAGGGAGTTCGGACATGGTGACATCAACTCTCTGCAAGGGAGAGGCTCCGTCTGCCCAGGCGCAAAGCCAGCTCGCCTTGGGATGTGGGAACCCTGGAATCTCAGCAACACCAGAAGGGGTGAATCGAGGGTCTCGTGTGCCTGGAGCATCCTGGACACGGTCAGGCCCACTGAGTCACACCTTTGGTTTCCAGCTTAGCCAGCCCCCTCCCCACAGGATCCAGAGTTGGTTGCCTGGGCTCTGCCTCAGCTGGCCAGACTTTCATGCCATGTGCTTTGTACCCAGCTGAGACAGCAGGATCTGCCATGCAGCCCACATGTGACCTTGGGGACTGTCAAGCAAAGCCCAGGGTTCACTGTCCTGGCTTCTCTCACATATCACTCTTGCTTTGGATAACAGCACATGGAGCACCATTAAAGCATGGAGAATCCCAAATCATTGTTCCAAAGAGTGTTTTGATAATTTCTATTTTGAAGGAAAGTGTTCAGTGGTGGCCAGGATTGGGGCAAAAGCCTGAACTTGGTTGATCTTGCTCAACTTTATTTTGGGGTATGGCTGGGTCTTTGTTTTCAATGCCACACGGGGGTGACAGGTGTCAAACTTTTTGGCAAGGTCTGTATTTATCTCTGGCAGGGGGGTTTCTCCAGAGTGGAGTCGGCTGGCCCTGCTTCTCCCACGTACTTGGCCTGGGTGCAGTGGTGTTCACATACCATTATCCACTAGGCACAGAAAGACCCAGAACATCACCAGCTGGGGAAGGAAAAGCTTTGTGGTCAGTGGAACACATGCCTGGGTCCCGGGGAGTAGAGACTTTGGCTGGCTTGCAGCAATGTCCCACTCCTTAGGGCTGTGCATGGAACATATTTGGGATGAATTATTGAACTTTTCCAGACAATCCTACAGTCCTTAAGGAGACTGGAGGGGATGGAGTCCAGAGGCCTCCCAAGGCTCAGACCCAAGGATGATAAAAGCCTTCTGGTCCACGGAGTCTTGTCTGCCCTCCAGGGGAGGAGCCAGGGGGCCCTGCCAGATGCAGCCCAGCTGCTGCTTGGTGATCCTGTTGACGGTAAAGACTGGGACAGGTGAGCAGAGGCAGCCCGCTGGGGAAGCTGGGGAAGCTGTACCCTGAGCGCAGACTCCCTGGGACGCCCACTTTCGCTGGAAGGAAAGACTCTTTGGATGCATAGATGTCTCCAAAATCTCAAGGCCATAGGAAAAGTATCTCCTGGTCCCAATGCAACTGCTACATTTCTTATGAGGCGTTTGTTGATTTGTTCTCTCTCACTCCTAACAAATATCTCTTGGATGCCTGGGAAGCTGTTTACAATGACATCTCCTGAGGGCCAGCACAGGGTCTCCCCTAACCTTGATGTCCCACACCGAAGCCCTTCATATGACCCTAGACCTCTTCCCGCTGGATGAGAGCCACATCCACCAGCTACTTGGATAGAATCAGAATATGACCCCTTCCTCCTCCTCCCAGCCCCCACGCCAGTCAGGCCCCATGACCTTCTGTAGCTCCAGCTTCCCCTGGACTCCTGGCCACCCCGCCTGCAGTATCTTCTTGCCTTGCCCTAGTTCATCCTCACAGACCGCCAAATTGACCGTGTCCGCTCCCTGCCTACATGCACCCACAACTTCCCGCAATGTCTATGGCCATCTCCAAGCTCCTTAGGGACCACAATCCCTCTCTAGCACCTCGGTCTGCTGTTTTTCTTTGATTTTTAAAATACCAGAATAACATACCCTTACTGCTGGAAATTTAGCAGCACAGACGCACACAACGTCAATGTTGAGCATCTCACACTCCAACTTCCAGCTGGCCTTCTGTCTCCTCTTTTCCCACACTATTACAGCTGACTAGGGATCTTCCCCCTTTCACTATGCTGTGCATCCACCTGTGTGCGCATGCACATTCTATGTAGTTTTGTCCATATACTGCAAGATAGAGCGCACCTTGATCCGCACCATGGCTTTGCATCTTCTTAACTACTGCATCCTGGTGCGCCTCCCATCAGTACACACTGTGGATGCTCCACACTACACAGCAGCTCTCCCCTTTGCTTTTAGTAGTTAAGAAAGTTTTAGAGAGCTTCAAGTTATGACCAGAGGGACTAAAGGGACTAAAGGATGACAGGAGGTGCTTGGTGAGTGTGCCAGGGCAGCTCCAAGCCCTGCGAGCTGGGAGAACTTTCCCTCAGGGGTAGCTGGGCTCTTAGTCTTGAGCGACAGCTCATGGAAGGGGTGTGTGGCCAGAGGACGCCACAGATGGGGCTTCTGCGCATTTCACATTCTAAAGCACGAAGGATTCAACTCCAGAGTAAGCAATCCACATATGAGGCTTCAGTGAAAATCTTGGTTTAACAAGTCTCTGCGGCGCAGGCAGGATCCGTCACGGTCCCCGGGGGAGTCTCCACACAATCACAGGGCATTCCCAATCCCTGCCTTGTTAGGCTGACGTCAAAGACACACCAGTTAAAAGAAAAAAAAAAAAAAGCCCAGAAGGCACTACAGGTCACTTGTGTCTGTGTGTGGTTTTGCTCCGGTACCTGGTGAGTGACACCCCTAGGCATCTTGGCCAGGCCCACAAGCAGAGCCTGGAGCCTGGGCCTTGGCCCTGCCTGGCTCCTCTCCACCCCCTCTGTTCCTCCACCTCCCTGCCTCTTGACCCTCTGCTTCTGTCTCCTGGTTCTGAATGGCAAGGTGCTTCTTCCTGCTATGCCCCGCTTTGCTCCTAGGGGCGCTGATGCTGAACACCCCCAGACCTGGAGTGGTGCCAGGCCATGAGCTCCCATTGGGCCTCCTGCCCTCAGGAAGAGAAACGAGATGCAGTCTCTGGTCGGAGAAACAAGAAACATCACACACAGCAGCAATTCCGTGCTGTTCTCATGGAGGGGGAGGTGAATACCTCACTTAATACCCACATACAGAATCTCACAGACTCCTGCCACTCGTCTCTAAGGCAGGCATTCCTTCTGAATCCACAGAAACAGATTGAGATGGCTAAATGACTTTCTCGACTAGGCAATGGCTGAGCTGGTGCTTAAATTTCACTTGGGCTGTAGAGACCACACTTGTAGCCATCGTGAACTGGCAGAGAGCACAGGGCCCAGGGGCTGTGCACCTGCTGCCCTGAATCCCAGCACAGTCTAGTTTCTGCATATCTTGGCCATGTTTGGAGGGATATCAGATGATGTCCACAGTGCAGTCAGGGTCATTGCTATCCTGAGCAGTGAATGGATGATGAGGGAGGGTGGTGCAGGCTCCCTGAAGTGCAGGGAAGCATGGTGCTACATAAAGAGGGCTCACCCCAGTGGCACCAAAATCCCAGGTGGAGATTCACACACCGGTGTGATGCATGTGGACATCCCATCATCAACTTGCTTCTTACAAAGTCCTTTGGTTGACGAGTTGCACTTGAGATAAGGAAACAGGCTCAGGGCCACTGAGTGGCTTATTGAAGACCATCAGCCCCTGCGGATCCCCCGGGGGTGGAAGGGATGGAGATGGTGGGTGTGTAACTGCAATACTTGAGTTCCTGCTATCCCTGGCTGTTCTCTCTCCACACCCTGCCCCCTCCTGCACTGTCACGTGTCTTTCAGCATGACCACAGTTCCAGGCTGGTGAAGCCCTCCGAGGAGCCCAGGGTTCCCAGCTGCCTCCTGGAGAGCAGCACTTGGAGTCCCGTGGGAGGTTCACCTAGTTGCTCCCACCATTTCCCAGAATTCCAACATATCACCCTCCTAACACCTCGGCGCTGATGGCTTCCTGGCTGGAAAGTAACTTCTTCATCCCTTAGTGCTGAGCAGTAGGCAGTGAGCCATTTTATGAGGTGATAAGAGGGTTGTATGCAGCTGTAAAATCAGTCATGCCCCAAGGGAGCCTCCTGTCATTTTGACAGGCCTGGCTTGATCAGGTCGTAAATACACATGTGGTGCCCGTTTGGTGCCCACGATCTCATGTGGTCTGCCTGGGCGAGCCATCTGAGCACTGGGTGGTGGCGCTGCCAAGAGCAGAGGGCAACATCAGCCACAGCACCATGCTAGAAATGCCAGTCGTAGAAGGAGACGAAGGAATGGCACGCAGAGGCCACGTCGGAAGCATGGGCAGCCTCACGAGTTCCGAGTTCGCCTCCGGTCACACCCCGGCAGCCTGGCTGACTGTTTCTAAGTGCCTGCTCTGCGCCTCGGCCCCTGAAGCAGCTGCTGTCACGAGCTGTTGTCTGATCCGCTATTTCAAAGCCAGAGAAGGTATCTGAAGCCATTAACAGATCCACCAGAAGATGATGCGTTTGTACAGGAGCATTTCAAATTCAATTTCTTGTTATTTCTTTTCAAACACAGCCTGTAATTCCGATGGGAAAATTGCATAATGCTCACAGATAACAATTTTCCCTTGAGACGGCTTTGTGGGAGCAAGCATGACGTTTCTGAAGCTGGAGAGGGAGGGTCCTGCCTCAGGGCCCCTTCAGCCTGTCCCTCCCTCTCAGTAACTCTGCAGGTGCACCGAGGCCCCTCATCGCCCGTGACCGTCTGTCAATCTACACACACTGGCCATAGCTGTTGAGTTAGCTGGTCTTTTGGTGACCGAGTGCCACGCGTGGGTCTGACTGAATTTCCTGGATTTCTATCATGTTATTTTCAGCGTTCACAAAGCCAGTGGGCAATCTCGTGTCTCTTGCTCCAACATTTAGAGCAAATGTGAGGACGGGGCAGGAGCCACAGGGAGACTGGGGGCCAGACCAGGAGCCAGATATTCTGACCTCACAGCACCAAACCCAGCCAGGAAGGACACTGCAAAGCAGGGGCTGTGTGCTCTCACATGAGAGAGGCTGCCAGACAGCATATCAAGCCCAGTGCTGGACACAGAGCCCAGGGAGGCCAGATGTGCCTCACCTGTGAGGGCCGTCCCCCTTTAAGGGACTGTAACTGGGGCCTGAGCTGTGGC